GTCTGTTTATGTGGTTTTTCTAGAGCAGCACCCCGCTGTCCAGGTGTGAACAAAGAGATGGCAAACATATGATTTTCCAGGGCTAGCGTTTTACAAGGCAGCTGCAACGTGAGGAAGCCTTCCTGGCCCCATCAAGGCCAGGAAGCTTTTAATATTGCTGAGTGAGTCATTGGCATGCTGGACCAGAGAATCAAAGCTGGATATGTAGGGAAGTGAAGGGATGATACAGTGGATAGGGAAAATCAGGGAGCCAATAAGTACAGGCCTCTGTAAGGACAAAGAACTGATGTATCGGGAGTAGCTGCGTGAGAGGACTGGGTAGGTCAAAGAGAGAGTTGGAGAGTGGGGAATCTGAAACTGGTTCAGACGGAGCTGCTGGGGTGATGATCAGATCTGAGGGGTAGTCAAGGCATGAGGTGGCTCAACTGGAGTGAAGGAGGAGGTCACTGGAGACAAGGACATCAAGCTGAGGGACCTGTGTTTTGAAGGGGCTTCTACATAAACCACTGAAGTCACCCAGGGTGATGGTGGAGCTTGGGGGAGAGGAAGATCAAGAACGAAAAGGCAAGGACTTCACAAGTGAGCAGCACAGCCAGGGCTCTGCATGTGACTGTGACCGACAGCCTGGAATCGGATGGAATCAGATGGTCTGCCACCTTGTCAGTGCAGGCCTGTCCCTCCCCTGTCTAAATGCCACTCTTGTAAGTGCCAGAGAAAGGGTCATTCAGCTTTTCCCTTGACATAGAGCTGCCTACAATTGTTTTTCTGCAACCCTTGCTTCTTCTCACCTCTTCTTAATCCTATTCATTTCCTTGGTGATGTCACCAAATGCCAGGGGTTTAAACACAAGCTCTATGCTGACAGCACCTGCATGTCTCCAGACTGGGGCCCTTGAGCTTCAGCCTGTTCAAAATCTCCAGCAGCGTGTTTACAGGTATCTCAGACTTAAGTGGTCCAGAGTGGAACTCTGCAACCACCAAATCTGCTTCCCTTCCACTCCTTTTAGAGAGTAAATGGTAGCTTTGCCCTTTCAGTTGCTCAGGCCCCAAGTCTGGACGTCATCCTTGATGCCTGTCTCAAACCACATCTAATCCATTGCCAATCTTGCTGGCTTCACCTTCATTAGAGAGCCAGAATCTGGCCATTGCCCTTCCTCCTCTGGAACCAGCTTGCTGCAAGCCTACCATCTTCTCCGCTCTACTCTATTGCCATCTGACTAGTCCTCTTACTTCCTCTCTTGCCCTGCTGTTGTCTGTTCTCCAATCAGCAGCCAGAGTGATTTTTTTAACTTCTCACATCAACAAAAGGGAAACTTCATTGAGACCCCAGGGCAGGAGACTGCGGTGGAGGGGCCTTCTTTAACCCTCTTGGGGTGCAGGTTGTTGGTGTGGTGGCACTTCCTGCAACCTTCAACAGCACTGGAGGGCAGGCGGAACACCTGGGGCAGATTATCTTGTCGCCGTTGTACTTCTAGCTGAGCTGGTGGGGGGAGGACTTGATGATACCACCCCACAAATGAAGTACTCAGTGCAGGGTGGACCCTTCCTGGACATTGTAGTCAGAGAGTGCAGCCAACCTCCAGCGGTTTGCCTGCAAAAATCAGCCGTTGCAGGCAGGTGGAATGACCTCGTCTTGGACTTTAGCTTTGATGGTCTCAGGGGTGCCACTGGGAACAACTTGAAGCCTGATGGTGTTGCCAGTGAGGGTCTCACAAAAATCTGCATCTCTGCATCTGCTGGGGAGGCTGCTCTGTGGCCTGAGAAAAGAGAAAGAAGGCAAGAGTGATCATTTTAAAAATCAAGTCATGTCAGGCTTCTCCTGGAAATTTTCCCTTGGCTTTCCATTTCACTTGAAGAAAAGACCAAAATTCTAATGATAGTCTACAGCCCCCAAGGGATCTAGCTCTTGGATACCTCTGACACATCTCCTGCCTCTTATGCCTCTTTCCTACCCCATTTCTTGCTTTCTGCTCCAGCCAAATGGGCCTGCTTGCTCATCCTTAAACATGCCAAGCAAGCCCCCACTGCAGACCTCAGCACCTGCTGTTCTTTCTGCCTGAGATATCTTCATTCAGATATTTGCACGGTTCAGTCCTTCACTTCTCTGAGGTCACTGCTTAAACGTCACCTTTTCAGAGAGGAATACTCTGGCCTCACACTCACCTGTATTTATTGCTGTTCAGAGCACTTCTCTCTCCCTGATTTAGCCATGGTAAGTTAAATAATCTTTTGGTAACCGATCTTAAGGTGAAGGGGCTTATACCACAAAGGCTTATCTAATGGTGTGCTGGAGTCGGCTTTGCTGACTCGAGAGAGCCCATTGTTACATTTCTAGGAAATTTCTGAGCCACTTGTTACTCATTATTTAAAGTTCAATTACATAAGGTTATCATTAAAATTATATTCAAAATGAAGGCAATAAGTACTCAAAATATATTACTTATTATTTTACTACATTTTACTATTTATGATATGTTTATTACTACATATTTTTATTATCTCTGTGCTTGAAGCTACTTATGTCTATTTCATGTGGGTGGTGGAAATTCTATGCAACGATGTGCTACTGTGCTCCTCCGCAGTAGGCAGAGCCTAACTTCTCGACTGGCCGCACGGTGAAGTCCGCTGTAATGAGAATGTTTACTTACCACTGAAATCAGTCAGCGCTGCAACTCAGGGTTTGACTTTTTTGGTGTGTGTTTATCTAGACTCAAGAAAGTGATAGAGAAAATATTTATGATGCAGCTGAAATTTAAAAATGTGCCATGACTGTAGCCATTGCACTATGAATAGCACAAAAGATTGAGGCAGTGATCTAGAATTCAAAACCACATATGACTCAGTGGAGGTCGCTCACGCCGTTGATGAGTGAGTGACGTTCTGACACACACATCTTCACTGCTCTACTTTTATCTTACTGGTTAACACGAATGAGCATATTAACCGCCATCTATGTTGGAGCTGCACTGATGCATCAGCTGTCACCATATGTCGATTATGGATGCAAGAGTTCAGCAAAAATGAATCAGAGCATTCTGTGAGTTTCAATTAAATATGTGGACTTTCAAAATAGAGTACTGTATATATTTAAGATTTTATTTATTTATTTTTTAGAGAGGGGAAGGGAGACAGAAAGAGAGGGAAACATGGATGTGTGGTTATCTTTCATGTACCCCCAACTTGGGGCCTGGCTCACAACCCAGGTATGTACCCGGACTGGGAATTGAACCAGTGACCCTTTGATTCTCAGGCTGGCACTCAATCACTGAGCCACACCAGCCAGGGGAGAGTACTATATATTTTATTATTTGTAAATTATATTTTTTATATCAGAGAAGTTTATAATAAATCCATACATGTGTACGTTGCCCTTGGATGGCCGACTGTTAAAAATTTATCAGACCACCCCTGGGTTTATCCCACATGCACCCTCCACCTCCTGCACGAGTCATTTGCTCACACCCCTCAGTGGGGGCCCAGCTGATGGCACTCCCACCCACTGCAGCATTGCTGATTGCTGTGTTGGGGTGGGGGAAGGTCACAGTAAGACACACTGGTGTCAAAGGCTCTCCTGGAAGTGACTTGCACTGCACTGCTCACATTCCATTGACCAAAGCAGGTCACACCTACTTTAAATGATCCAAGAAGTATGATTCTATCATGTGCTGGGAAGGAGAAAAAGTAAAACTGGTGTATTGGTGAAGAGGCCTAGTGACCATGACCATCACAACACAGCACTGAGGTGCTTATTGTCTGCCCCACTCCCACACTTGAATGAATGTTCCACGAGAGTTGTTTTGTTTGCTGTGATATCCTGAGCACCTTGGAGATTCTCAACAAGTACTTACTGAGGGAATCTGAGAGGAAACTAGCCTGAAAGTGGAAGACCCTGGAAGCAAGTCTTTACTGATTAGTGAAGAACGTTACCACTGAATGATTGCTCCAAATCTTGATAAGCAGTGTGTTTTTTGTCACCTCCTCCAGCCCCACCAGGCAGCTGGAATTACGTGGCACAGCACATCGCATAGGTGAATATGGCTCTGTGCACCGATTAGAAAGAGCCCTGGGCCAGTGAAAGGACGAGTCCTGGAATGAATGCAGACACCACCACAGCGGAAGGCTCCCCTGCCCAGGCCACGAGTAGGGTGAGGTACATGGGACACAAAAGAAGGTGTCCCTCAGATTTGTGCAGGTGCAGGGTAGGCCCTGAGAGGAGCCCTTACATTTTGGTCCTAGGAGTCTTGGTCACCTTGCCCTTGTCCTTGTGGCCAGGTCTTTTCCAAAAACTCTCAATTCATAGTTTAATAGACAAATTCCAGCTCTATCCACCGCTTCTTCCTAAAGACAGCTGGACAGAAGCATACATAAAAGAATTCTGAGCTGGGGTCAAGTTTTCTTCACTCTGACTAGCTCAGAGTCTTTGGACTCCAGGGTGGCCCAGTTAAGGCTGTAAGGCTCCAAGGCCATGTGTTCCCCCCTCACTGTGGGGTGGTGATGAGGAGAGGCATCACAGATTCCAGAAGAAGCCTCATGCGTCTGCCTCCGTGTTGGACCATGGAGCTCAGGTGCAGATTGTGATTGTAATTGGGTTGGATGCTGTTACACACCTGGGATGCCAATATCACTAACCCTCACTTGTTCAGGACCTACTATGTGCTGAGAAAGTGCTACACTGGCTTCATTCACTAACCGGTACCTCAACATTATTAGCTTGATAGTTCCAATTTGTCAAAAGAGGAAACTGAGTCTTGGGGAGATTAAGTAATTCTTCTGAGGAAGTGGCAGATTCAGGATTTGCATTAAATCTTTTTGAATCTGATATCTGGTCTTCTATCAACCCAAGAGAAAAATTAGAAACCACCATTGAGGCAATATGAACTCAAGACACTGGGTTTAACCAACCTCGTTCACAGGTCAAGGAAAAAAATGCAGGCATTTTCACATTTGACTCATGTGAGACTCTCAATGAATCAAAATAAATTCCAGTTTGACCATAAGAGCTGTTTTTTTCTTTCCATTTTTATTGAACACAAGTATTCTGACAGAATGCAAAGTCAAAATTCTCAGTTAGTACTCAGTATTTACACCAGTGAGAATGGAAACAAAGGTGGTCTCGATGTTTCACTTGGTAAAAAGTTTATAACAAGAGAGAAGGCCCCCGAAGTCGGGAATGCTGGGTAGGGATGTTAATGGAGGTCTGAAACCACCATCCAGACAGACAGCCTAGAGTGAAAACCTGGGACTTGGAAGGCTCCATAAAAAAGTGTGAAAATAGAGTCCCCCTTCCAAAGCTGCGCTATGTACATGACCCCCGTCAGTGTGAGGAGACCCACGCGGGGCACTCGAGTGCCCCTTCAGCAGAACTTGGCCATGCGGCGTTATGTGAATACATATGTATGGCACATACACATATAGACACATAGACATTGGAAACCGGCAGAATTGATCCCCTCTTCAAAAAAATTAAAAGAGAAAAACTATAAGCTTTTATCTCTTAACATAAAAGATAGAATATCTTGAAAATAAAGTGACTCCCTCTTTGATTTTAGAGAAAGCATTGCTCTGTCTTATTTTATTTAAGGAAAGGAAAGTTCACACATGCAGAGACAAATCTATATATGACGGGAGAGAGGCTGACCAAAAGGTGGGCAGTCTTGGGTTCCAGTAACGGTGGAGCCAGGGTTCTGGGGGGAGGGGGCGGTCTACTGTCCTGGGCCAGGTTATCTGAGGGTTGACTATACCTCTTTCTCTTCCTAAGTATTAGAACAAAAATCAGTTTGTTTGCCTAACCACAACCGCTCTGAATGAAATGCACAGTCTCCACGAGGTATAGTGTGGGCTTGGCCTAGGTGCTCAAAGCCATTAACATCCCAAGATGAAGGACCGATACCACTGACAACCTGGTGAGAGGAAGAGCCCGCCACTCCCAGCTGGGTCCTTCTGTCTGACACCCAGGAGCTCCCATTCTGCCGTGTGCTCTACAAACTGTCTCCAAGGCGCTCGTTCCTGAGGGCCTAAGCACTGGAACTATAGGTCTGTGCAAGCCCTAGAGTCACAGGGGCTGGAGCAGTGTGGACTGGGATCCTCCATTTCCATCCCCAGGAGATGAGAAAATGCAAAATAACCCCACATTTAGCAAATGACAAGACCATTGTTTTTCACAGTTTGGAATTATAATCTAGCATATTGCCACTGATCAGATTGCAGAAGTGTCAGAACCTTGGGGAGTATGGCCCGCAGAGTGGACTCAGGGGCAGGATTGCCAGCCTCACCTCTTGCTGTTGGTACCTTCAGAAAGGAGCACGTGCTGAGTCCTGATTTCTGTTTACTTAGCATCATCTTCCTCATCATAACCATTTTTATTCATTTTCATTGTTTCAAGGCTTCAATTCCTTTTGAGTAATTTTTGTTTCCTGAATATTTCTTCTGAACTATCTGCTATACCTTCCACAACCAAACTATGTTGAAGTTTTATTTCAATACTATGACAAAAAACACGTTTCACACTAATATATTCACGCATCCACAGTGCACAAGCTTGCAGTTCTAAAGTAGAATGAGAAAAAAAAGCAAAATTTCTATACAAAGGGCTGGCTTTTCCCTTCTCCCCCCTCCCATCACCCTTAAAGTTTCTGTATTTTTCCCCACTTTGTTTCCAATCCAGGAAAGTTGTGTTATGACTCCAGACAACAGGTTGGCTTTTTTTCTCTTTTGTTTCTACAAACGCTGCCTAAGTGAACAGAAGGCCGATGTTACTTCAACAGATTTCCAAAAAAAGACACTAATTCCCTGAAGCACACATGCTCTTCCGCTCAAATCTAGATTCTGGGCTCAAAAAGAAATTGTATGTATACATTTTATTTGGCTTTCTATAAGAAGGGGATGTTTGGGGTAAAAATGTGTGTTCACCAAGACCAGCCCCAACTATACAGTCTTCTCTGCTTCATTCAACAAAGCCTAAGGGGTCCTTCAAAAGGCAGGACAGGAAGCCCGGGAGCAGATCCCTTGTCACAGGTACAGGCAGGTGGTGGCTAATCAGAAAGTGGTCTAACCCCCAAGGAAACACCAAAAAAACCCCAAGAACCAAAAAGCAAAACCATTCCGGAACGAGATGGATTTCCACCTGAGTTGGACTCAGGCAGCAACTTCACATCGGAAGCGGGGGCACGCCACTGTAAACAATCACACTGCGTGAAGGTGTCCTGTGCTAGAGCGAGCCTGTGACGGTCCTGCCCACCTCTGGGCAGTGCTTGTAACTTAAAAAAAAAGGCAGCTATTTTGCATGGACATTTAAACACAATTGCAGTTAAACATTTGTCAACTTGTAAACACTGGAAAGAAAAGTTGGCAGAAAGAAAAAAAAAGAAAAGAAAAGAAAAAAGAAATCTGAATACTGCAAATTGAGATCTACCCCCAGAAGCTGCAGTTTGGCATTTGGCCTACAAAACAGGAGTCTACGTGGGAACTGAATTCAGCTAGAAAGGGTGACACACTTTGCATACTGAACAAATACAAAGTGAACAGAAATTATAACTTATTCGTGAGGTTTTACAGAGTTCAAACTTGACTGAAAGTATAAAAATAAACTTGGACTTTGTTCATTCGGTTAGTCTTAGTGCCTGGAAGTGTTTCTCTGAAACTGGTCTGTGCCAGTTGGGCAACACCAAGTGCAGTCTTCCTAAACCTAGATTTTTTTCTGAGCTTCCTAGATTCTTAATTTGGGGTCCTTTTGTTTGATTTTTAAATGGTTTCAGGGAACGGAGTGTCCTAGTTTGGCTGTGGGTTTAATCTTTTTGTCTCATTTTCTTACAAGTGAGTGCGCAACAAAGGAACCCTTTCTATAAACCTACAAAAAGGAGATCCCATGTTTATCTGTTTAGTTTTCCTTTTTAAAGGCAAAAGACACTAGAGGAATGAGATGTGTGTGTGTGTGTGTGTGTGTGCGCGCGCACGCGTGTGTGGTATTGGAAATGCTCTGGTGAAGCTGTTGTGTCACTTTTCATTTTGATCTTTGCTCCTCTCCCGTCACCCATCATGCTTTGCTCTCGTTCTCCTGTGTCTGTGTGGCGTCGTTGGGGACGGTCTTGACTTCGGCTGGCGCTGGCTTCGTTTCTGTCTCCTGGCACTCCGACTTTGCTTCTACAGGGCCCTTCCTGCAGAGAATTGGGAAAAGAGCGCTGAGACCAGGTCTGGGGGAACTTGCCCTTCAGCCAGCTCCTCTGGAGGGCCTCCAGTGAGAGCAGTGGCCTCCAGCCTCGGCTGCTTGTCACAGTTACCTGGGAGCTCTAAAAACCACTGATGCCGGCCGTTCCCCAGAACTGGTCTGGATGTGGTGACTTTGCAAGCACCCAAGTGATTCTAACATGCAGGCAGAGTTGAGAACCACTAAATCAGAAGGATGAGACCTTTCCCGTCCCAGCCCACAGCTGATGTCAGGGCCTTCCACTGGGGTGGTGGAAGGGGGAAGCAGAAGCGGACTTTCCTTGACCTGATGGGCTGCACTAGCAGTAGCTCAGCCTGGTAGAAAGGAAGTGGACTAGGCTGGGCACCCAGCACTGTTTCCAGGGGGCCCTTCAGCAAACCACCGGCTCTTGTATGTCTGCCCCCAACCTACCTCCACCCACCCTACCCCGTGGTCCGTATTTTGTGGTGATACCTTCGTGGCTTGCCTGAACAGAGTGAGAAAATGCTCTTTGTTCCTGAGAGTATGGAGAGAGGCCAGAGTGGGTTTCCAAGCTACAGGGGAAGTGAGTGGGGTCATGGGTCAAGTGGGCAAGGCTATCAGTCCTTTTCCTTCCTGAGATCAAGGCACCTGGTGAGGGTCCCCTTGTAGCTCTTGGTGGCAGTACCACAGTTCACCTGGCATCAGCCTCAGGAGCATCTATAGAAACTTCTCTCTGACTCTGCCTCAGGCAGTTCCAGGAGCCAGAGTCTGGCCTAAGGAAACACTGGGGCAGGCTCAGATCCAAGCCACAAATAGTGCCACTGCATTTTGGCATCACATTAAAAAAAAATTGTAAGCTTAAGGACCTTCCCTTGAACTTGAAGACCAGTCATTTGATACTTTGGAGCTCTGAGACCTCCCAGCCACTCAAGGGCAGGAGAAGCAAGGTGGGTGTGTGTCAGCATCTGGGTGGGAGTGTGCAGGGCCCCTCTGGACTGCATTTTTGCCCCACGCAGACCAGCCTCTCTGCTTCCTGCAGAACAGGGCTGTTCTTTGGGCGCACAGCCTGGCCCTGGATAACACACTGACTGCCTGTGGGACCCAGGGTGGCCAATAAGGGCACCTTGGTCTCCTTAGCTCACTTTTGAAGTTATGCTCATCAGTGGCCTGACTGCAAGGGTTCCCCAGGGAGAACAGACAGCACTGCTAGGACGATGAGGATGAAACATAATTAGCATGGCCTAATTAGTGAGCAGGAGGCTGCGTGCAGGGGCCTGCTGTGCATGCCTGCTTTCTCTGCCTTATCCCAGCCCTTTGGTTGATAGTTGCCTCAGAGAAGCCCTGGGTTAGGCTGGGGACACATCTAACAAGGAGGACACAGCACAGCACAAACGCACACCACCACGGACACAACCCGACGACAGCAGACAAAGAGAGGCCGTACTCGGTCTTTGCTGGTGCAGGCGGAACAGAGCTGTCTGCAGTGGAAGGAGCAAGCTCAGGGGCTTGTCCACTGGCCCCAGCGGCGGGAGCAGGAGAGCCCAGGGCTGCAAAAACATCCTTTGCAAGGTCAATATCTGGGGTCTTGAAGTTCCCTTCGTCCATTTTAAAGTCCTCGCCCTGGGCAGCATTTGTGGCGCTGACGGAGGCAGCCTCACTCTTCGGGCTAGTGGGGACCGTGGCTGCCTCGCTGGGGCTCTTCAGGGCGCCAGGCTGGGTGGGCTCGGGGTCCGGGCCTTTGGTGCTGGGAGCCTCCTGCTTGGCCTGGGGGGCTTCTGTGGCGGGGGCAGCTGCTGCTGCTAGGGGACTGGCTGCCCCGGCTGAGGTGGGGGCTGGAGCAGGGGCTGGCTTGCTCACCGGAGGGGCCTTGGAGGCCTCCCCGGCACTGGCAGGGGCACTTGGGCTGAGCACAGCCCCCTGGGTAGCCAGGACACTAGATGACAAATTGCTGGCCGCAGGGGCTGAGGTTGGGGTATCACTCAGGTCAACAAGGGGGGCCACCTTGGGAGCTGACGCTGGGGATGGGGAAGAGGTGGCAACACCGGGCCCCTTGGAAGGGGTGGCCTGGCTGGCAGGCACAGAATTTGAGTCAGGTGTGGCCGTGGTTGGAGGGGCAATGCTGGAGGTCAGGGTGGTGGTTTCACTGGTGGGGCTGTTCTGAGCAGTGGCAAAGGTTTCGGTGATAGTGTCAGAGTTAGCGGTGACGGTGGTGACAGAAGGCAGCATGTCCTCAACAGTGGCTGTGGTGTCAGCAGGCAGCCTGTGGGGAGGACAGGAAGTAGAAGAGAATAGACGATGAAGCTGAGACAAGACAGAGAAGCGGTGGGGGAAGGGCTGAAGCCGAGGAGGGGCCGTGGGCAGGGCATGCAGTGACGCACAGGCGTGGACACAGGCCCACAGAGAGACGAGGACGTGAGAGGAAGCACACGCCCAGGCGGGCAGAAGAGGACACAGGAGACGGCAGAGAACGCGGCAGTCGTCTAAAAGGGACCCGCTGGCCCTTCCTCCCTGATGACTCCCTCCACTTCTCTGCACAGGACTCCCTGCCAGGGCCGTTCTGATTCCTGCCTGCGTCTCGACTTGAGGAAAGGCAGCCTTCAGTGCAGTGTGCACCACTGCGAGTGTCCTACGTCCCCAGGGACGAGCCCAGCTGCCCCACTGCGCCCCACCAGCAGTGATGGGGAAGGTCGGGAGTAAGGCGGACGACGAGTGTTCCAAATGGCCCCTAAGAACCATGGGTTCTCCAGCCACAGATTTTGTGCTTCTATTAAACTCCATTAGCTTCAAACCCATAGTACCCACGATAGCCAGGCAGTCAGTACAACCACAGCCAGATGTCGTTTCTGACCGAGGGTCCCTGAGGCTTTTGAGCACAGGAGGGCCAGAGAGCTTTACCAGGTCCCCGGGTTCCCTCACCCTTCTGGGAAGAATGCAGATAACATTGCTGGATTCTTGGAAGTCCTAAACAGAATTTGCTAAACTTCTCAAGGCTCAGTCTTTCTCAGTGAAGTTTTGCCCCCTAAAGCCATCTCCAAATGTGTGTGGTGGTAACAGGGTCTAGGGATCCCACTTACACAAAAAACACCCACACCTTCCCTAATACAACCAAGAATTCCTTCTCTCCAGGGAAAGACTGGGGCCCGGCGTTTCTCAGCCAAGGTCCCAGAACTCTGGCCTGCACTGCTAGGCCAGGAGCTGTGGGTGACAAGCATGGCCGGTGTGGGCAGGCGAGAGGTGGCCACAGAGGCACGAACCCCTTCCCACCACGTACTCGGGCTCTGTGAGTGGCGTGGTCTCATTGGGCTCCGTGTGCTTCCCCCCGTCGTGGTTTGGGGTCCGCTCCTCCTCCGTTCGCACCTCCACGATGGGCTCCTTTGACTCATCTTTCCTGCGGAGAGAGTTCGGCTGGTTCAATCCTGGAGAGCTGGGGGAGGGGAGGGCTCCCAGGGAAGCAATCTATAGCTTAGGAACCTAGGCCTGGCTCATGGTGGGCAGGTGGCCTTCAGAGCCAGGCTCCAGTGCCTCACCCTGAGTCCCCACTCTCACTAGCTGTGTGACCTTGAGCGTCTGACTTGCTTTCCCTTGTCTGCATTTGCTCATCTGTAAATGGGGCAAGTAACAGGATGTACCTCACATAACTGTTAGGAACATTACCTGAAATAATGAATGTAAAGTGCTTGCACAGTGCCTGGCACAGATAAATGCTAAAATAGTTTGTATTTATACACACGCAAGCATATGCACGTATAGGTACCTGTATGTGTGTACACATGCACATGCTGTGCCTGGCACATGGTGGTGCTAAACACCTCTGCCCCTGTCTCGTCCCTTCTCGCCCCGAGCCAGCTCAGCCCAGTGATGGTCTACGGAGGCTCTTGCTACCTGGCTCAGGACCTGTTTCTCCAAAGACCCCGGAGGGGGCAGCATCTGGATCGTCGGCTCAGTAGGACGGAAATTTTAACCTGTTTTGCTCATGGCGTCTCCTAGTATCTGGGAAGAGCGCCTTGCCCCTAGCAGTTTCTCAACAAATACTTATTGAGTGACTTACGAATGACTGATTGAATGACAGCAAGCAAGTGTGCCTCTCAGATGCTGGCCCCTCCACTCATCCCCCCCCCCCCGCACCAGGCCTTAGCTCTGAAAATGCCCTCATTTTGACTTAGGTAGGGATTTTCAAACTTCCATGAAATTCTAATATAGTAGTTTGGAGTTGAGCCCAAGAGTCTGCTTTTCAAACAGGGGTCCCCTCTAAGACCACGCTTTGAGGAACATTTCTCTAATGCTTGTTTTCCCTTAGGGTTCCCGAGTGGAGGAACTACGGAGGTAGCTCAGCTGCTGGGCCCTGGCTGGGGCAGGTCTGCACTCACGAGAAGGCGGCTTTGCCCTCCTCCATGTCCTTGCCCTTGGCTCCAGGCCCGGCCTTTCCACACAGGTTGACGGCGATGCACATGAGCAGGCCACACTTGTTCAGAAAGTAGCAGGTGATGTCGACAACCACCAGGAGCAGGACAAAGATGACAATGAGGATGCCCACGATGGCCCCGGTGCTCAGACCTGCGGTGGGACTGCCATTGGCTTAAGTGGGAGGGAGAAAGAGGGATGGCTGGTGGTTAGCACACTGAGCTGACACGCTGACCCCTGGACCCTGCAGAGCAATAGCCTGTGAGGGTTGGGTAGGGCCCACAGGACAAAGCTATGGCACTTGTGTTCAGAGTGTTATCTTCCCTGGTGTTATATGTGTTGAGACAACAGGATCTCTTTATGTCTTCAAGAGGAAGGTTTGGCAACCTTGTCAGGAGGAGAGAGGGGACTGGGAGATGGGTCCCCATCTCCGCTCTGAACTTGTGAGCCTCCCCCAGGCCCACCCTTAGCTGTATCCCCGAGAGCCCTGGGAGCAGGCAGGTAGGCAGTGCTCGCTGGTTTCAGGCCTGGCTGTGGCTCCTGCGTAGCTGTCAGGGACATGGTCCCAAATGAGGTGGCAGAGGGCTCCCCAGGCTTCCTTTGGGCTTGTGATGATGTCAGGCACAACAGGAGTCCCCATATACTACCCCACATACACCCCCCTCTTTAGGAACAGCCCCAGAGGACCCAACGTGGGGTCAAAATGGCTTCATGGCTTATCCATCTGCACTGCACCCAGAAGCCATTTACTTTGGCGATATGGAGGCCTTCCCAGTTTTTGTGGGTCAGGTGAAAAGTCTAGGAACACTCACCATCTGGGAGCTCAGGCATGTTTGGATCAGACTTTAGGAAAACCAGAAGACTCACCCTGTGATACTCACCTTCCGGGACAGGTGCCCTCACACTCAGGACAAATGCATACCAAAGAAGGACACACATTCTCCTGTTCGAGCAGCTCCCAGCACTCCCAGCCTGGCTGGGTGCACTGTGAATGACTGAGTCTGTGTCTTACTCCCTTGCTGTCCACTTAAAATCCCCCAGGGCCCTGGGCTACTGATGGTATCACAGAAGGACCCCAGGCTCAGCTCCCTTCAGCTGCCCGCAGTGACTGATGCCATTTGCTCCAGGTGGACCCTCCCTCTGACCTACAGGGGACTCCCGCCAGTGTGTGGGAGACAAACGCACGTGCTGCAGGCAGAAGAGCCCATGCAGAGCTCCATCCCTAAACCCACGTGGAAACAGTGATCCCACACCGGAAGGGGGGCACTTCCGCTTTGCTTTTCTTCTGGAAGAATAAAGTTGCAAAACTGGCATCTCCACCCCACCACCAAACCTTGCCTGAAGCTTTTGGTGTCCTCAGGACCAGGATCGCCCAGGTCTGTTGATTGGAGGCAGGTCCTGTGGCCATACCTGGGTCTCACTGTCCCTTTGTCAAGCACCGGGCCACGCCCCGTGGCCTGGCAGCACATGCGTACCAGATAACAGGACGTGTAACCCGAGGTAACAGATGTCACAGATGGGCCGGCCACACATTCCTCTGCTCTAGGAGTCCCTGCTCAGGCCCTGCCACCCCACTGGTCCTTGTTTCAAGTTTCACTTCCTGGGATGGGCGACCAGCATAGCATGACAGAGATGAGTACTCACTCCACCTAGAGCACAGCTGGGGCTCAGCTAGAGACCCCCAGGCTCTCAAATATGTTTGGACCCTCTGGGACCTTGGTCTTGCTTCCTGGCCTGTCCTCTTCAGGTCTGTCTCAGGGCACTTCCAAACCTTCACTGAAGGTCCCAGTCTGTCCCCTGGGAAGGCCCCAAGGCTGCAAAGGGCTCTGTGCTCTAGGACACAGCTTCAGCTACTCTGTCTCTGGGTCCTGAGAGCAGCAAACTGGCCCCTGGTCCCTGCTGTCAGTTAGAGTGGGTTTTATCCCTAGCACCGTACTAAACCAGAACAAAGCCATTCATTCTATTTCCCCATGTTCTCACACTTTCCTCCCCCAAAAGCAAAGAAATGTAAGCCTTCCTGATTTGCAGAATCCCTGAATAGGGAAGAAGTTCATCAGTTTTGGGCTTTCTCTCCACCCCTGACACAGGGCTGCAAGCCGCTGTGGTCTTCCTACACCGATTCCCATATGTATTGAGGGCCTACTTGGAAGAAGGAATCACAGTACTACTCTTGTGTGTGTGGGTTTGTGGGGGGGGATGTATTTTTGGACTCACTCTACATCCTGAGGTTTAAATATATGTATGGGTTAGGATAATCATATCCTTAAGAGAAAAAGATCTACTGGAAAGCTGCCCTCTGGGTGAGACCAAGTCGACAGAAGTGTCCGGCTTGTGTTCTGGACTCAGCAGATGCAGGGGGAGGGCTGCTCTGCTTCGGACAGCCGAAACCAGCCGCACACTCCGGGGAGGGCCAGGCGGGCAGCGAGGGTGACTCTGACTGGCAAGAAGCAGAAAGTAGGGCAGCAGTCTCATTTTATTTGATATAAAACCTGTTCTTCTGGCCTAAAGGCCCTGCACGTACCGTGGACTCTCCCCTTCTCCCGCCACTGTAATTCTTGGCACTTACCCACACCATCTCTGTGGTCTCAATGGCTGAGCCTTTGCTTTACCTGCTGAACACACTGGGCTGTTCCTGCCTCAGGGCCTTCTGATCCCTAACCTGGGACACTCTGTCCCTGTCACCTCCCGGCTAGCTGTTTGTCCTATTGACCTCAGCTTAAAAGTCACCCCACTCCCATTTCTTATCTACTCAGGCACTTCTACTCTAAATCTGCCACATTACCTGTTTCATTCTCTTCTTACCTCTATTTACTATTTTCTGTTCCTTTACATGTGCCCTCTAGAATGTCCTAGTAGGTACCCTGTCTGTCTGATGTGTCCTCAGCATCTAGGAACACCCGACATATAGGAAATGTTCAAAAGAACATTTGTAAATGAAAGGGCATTTAGCCAGGAGAGGAAATGCTATCACCGGATATTTATATATGTGCTGTGAGAAGGAAGAGTAGTCTTATTTGATTTCACCAGCGGATGGAAACTGCAGGGTGAGGAGCAGATTTCAGGTCCACAGGAGAAAGAACAAGCAGACAGAAGCATTCAAACATGGTATGACCTGCCTCGGCAGGTGAGCCCCCTGCCCTGCTGCTGGAGGTGCTCAAGCAGAGGCTGCGCACCCCTCGGTGGGCAGACTGCACTGCTCGGGATGAGGCTGCTGCACCAGGTGGGGCCCAGAAAAGCGAATGTCTTCAAGTCCTCTTCAACCATGTCAGCCTGTCACTGCACATGGATGTCCTACAGTGCCCAGTACATGCTACAAAGTCCCCTGTGCCAGTCTCCTCCAGAGTGGAGACTGAGAAGGACTTCTTCCTGGAGAACTAAAATGTTCAGTAGGGCCCATCTTTGTTCATTAATTCTTTCGATTTTACTTTTATATGGAAAATAAACATCAGTGTAATGTTTTTCTATTTACAGCAGAATTTCTGGAGGGCTTTGTTAAAAATTTAGGTTCTGGGGCTTCCCAATTTCATAAATCGGGATATCTGGGTGAGAGGCTCACGCATCAGGATTTGATGGAGCACCCAGGTGATCCTCATGCACCCTAGAGTTGGAAGACCACTGTTTCCAGCTCTCTATCCCTGTGTTACAATCAGTAGCAGCTGTTCCTATGACTTACCACCCAAGGATGAGCTGTGGAGTCCCACCTGGTAGACTGGACCTACCGATGGACTGAACGGATGAAGAGAAGACAAAGACTATCCCCAAAGGAGCAGGAGCCACCCAGTTCACCACTCAGAGCTAAGACTTCTAGAGGAAGTTAGGTGTCCCTCACAAAAGAGTGTGTGTAGCCTTCGTACAAGGAAGTGTAAACAGGGGGAACACCAGGATACAGATGGTAAGGCATTCAAGTCAAAACCACATCCATCATCTCTTGGTGGATGTTACAGGTTTGTTTAGTGCAGGTACATTAGAGGGACAAAGGTCATCTCCTGCACTGTATGTAACACTTTACAAAAGGAAAGAGACAAAGCCTTCTGGGGTCTGTGTTTGCACGCTCTTCCTCCCGACCTCCTTGGGTGGACTCGACTGCACACCTGCATGCCAACAGTGCCCCTAACCCCTGGGGTTAGAGCTGACCAGAGGAGGGAGGGTCTGAGGCCGGGACTGTCCATCTCCTGTCGTTTCTGATGTGGGACAAGTTGGCACCGAGTCGGGAACTGCCTTGCCCCAAGACTGAGACCTACACATGCCTAGTTTTTCAAGTGCCTCAAAATGAGAGTACGGGTCTCACATTTACAGATGCCTGGTGGTCCTGAGTCACTGTACCGTGGGGGCTCAGCACAGCAGAAGTGCCCCCTCCAGCCCATGACTCTCAGGACGGTTGAACTGGGTGCTGGTTCACGCACAGCCCTCTGACACATCTGCTTGCTCCGGCCGGGACTCTGCTAACCAGAAAGCTGGTGTTGGGGCCTTTGGGGAAGTGCCCACCTAAGTGTGATTATAAACAGAGCAGGGCTTGTGAATGAAAACTTTCTCTCAGATTCTCTTGATCATAAGGTCACTGTGTGCAGCCTCTGTTATGGAGTTTTAAAGAGACCTCCCAGCTGGGAGGCCTTGCTATTGATTCGTTGTATATCTGGTGGCCTGGGGTGGGCCCCTGACCCACCCCAAAGTGACCACTTCCTGATTGTACAAAGGCATTTTCCCCTTCCCCTGTCTGCTGGGGACTAGGAAAGTCCAAAGAGGCAGTGGCCCACAACAGCTTCTAGAATAGCCAAGAAAAATGCCTTGCTCCTCATTAGGAAAGGGAAGCATTTCCTTTGCCAGAACACCACTCAGCAGGCTTCAAATTTGGGGTGCATTTCAATGGCGCTCTTGGGTAATCAAAGTTATCCAGGTGAATGTAAGGTGGAGGGAAAGGACTTTTGACATTTTGTAGGACACACAACTACCAAATAAAACCAAACACACTGGAGAGTGCACGTGAACTGTTATTTCCTTTAATAATGCAAAGGTGTAAACTTCATAAAGGCCTCGCTGATGATCTACACAACAGTGTTAGCATTCTTATTAGTAGAAAAACGTGATCCAAACCTGCCGTATAAATATTCCCCAAATAAGCAGAGATACCCTGTGGCGCGTGGAGGCTGGGCAGCGGCAGGGCGGACAGGCAGCGAGCGTGCACCCTGTGGGGCTCTCTCGGGGTCACTATTTTAGGGATTCCTGGGGGGGAGGGGCCACAGGCGTGACAGAAAACTCAGTGTCTGTTGGGAGTGTGTGTGTCCTCATACTGTGTCTGGAAGGGCATCTCGGCACAGACAGTGGCCTGTCGGAATGCGGTTGCGTCAGCTGAGGCCTGCCTGGCCTGGGGTGCACCGAGGAGACAGGGCAAAGTCTCCAAGGAGTCCCTTCAAACACACCGACGCTGTCCCCCACCTGTGGGTGGGGCAAACCCCTGAGGTGGGTGCTCCTGGATGACTCCTGCCCAAGATGATATCAAGAGCGTGCTGGGAGCCAGAAGGACAGTGACAGGCCACCTGCAGGCAGACTGATCTCTTCCCTGCTTACCCTCTCTCCAGCTCTTGCTAATGAACCTCGGATTCCCATCGCAGGTCTGGAGGCACTACCTGCCTCTGCTCAGTGCTCTGCATCGGGCCTAAGAACCTTGCTGCTTCTGAAGTCTGGTGTGAGGAGGCAGGGGCCCCGGAGTGCGAGGACCAAGTTTGGGCTGGAGGCAGTGGAGGCTGGGCAGAGGCACTACCCTGCCAGAGCTGCTGGTCAGCACTTGGCCTCTGCTGTCTGCATCTGAGTCTCTAAACTGTGAGCATGAGGGACACAGGCAGCTCTGCCCCCAAAACCATGGGATCACTTAGATTCCCAAAGGGAGACCCTCAACTCTGAACATTAAGAAATAGCAACAGAACTAAAAATTAAAGAGACCAAAAAGAACAAAAATCAGACTTCTGTGGAGGTGCTCAGAGATGAGATATGTAAAATGATATGTGACCACAATGGAGGGATGGAGTTTTTGTTCAGTAGACGTTCCATCCCCAAGCACACACTGATGTTACACAGCAAACTCACCCTGAGTCTCTGTGTGGGACTTTTGCAAACACCCTCCACTTGCTCTCCTGGGCACCTGGGGAGGCATACTCCCCATCAACAGAGGTGTAGCTGGCTTTCACCAGTTTTAGCAATGTCACTAAAGCCACTGACAATCAGGGGGTTTGGTGCATTTGGGAAACATTCCAGGCTGACTGAGTCCCAGTTTATTAACAGTTCAGGCTGGGTAGTCTGGGAGTGGCTTGTCTCTCCCTTTCATCCTGTGAACATGTATGGGGAGGGTGCACGGTTCACGTCTGGCTCACAGTGGATGCTTGCAAGCAGGGGCACTGACTTATACGATAGCATGGGTCACTGTTGAACCACGAGCCCCAAGACATGAGGCTCTGTGTTGATCTGCAGCTGTGTAGCAGCTACCACCCGGCCTGGGAGACACATGCTTGCAAAGCTGACCGGTGTCGGGCACATTAAAGGGTGGCTCTGTTCACAGAGCCCGCATAGGGTGCTGGTTGTAATACCAGGACCACAGCGCCTCCCAGAATGTTTGGTCAGCCCCAGTAAACACCCAACAAATCAAATTTCTTCTGCTGCATGGGCAACTGGGTGACTTAATTTGCCATTGTGCCATCAAAATTCTCACAGTGGTCTGGCTCCCTTACTATGGGCACTGAAGTACAAGCAAAGCCAACTATGTTTTGAGAGGCAGAGTAGCGTGGGGTTAGAAGGGGGCCAAGTGGGGATTTTAACAAACTTATGCAAGCTTTAGGTGTGTGGCGCGTGGAGAAATCTGCCTCTGCTACATCATTTTCAGGTAATTTAAAAAAAAACCGCAGTAAGTAGCAGATGTTCAAAAATGTCTCTGTAAACCTACCATAATGCTTTTAAAATACTGTTTAAAGAAAAGAGCTCCCAAATATTTTGTACTGCCACTAAAAGTATGTGTGCGTGTGTGTGGGATTCCTTATGAAGTGGCATAAAAATAGATGCAAATGGTAAATGTCTGGAGGTCTGGCTTCTCCAATCGCCAAACCTTCCTCTTCCACGTAGAGCGCGTGGCGCCATGGCCGTTCTTCCAAAGGGGCACTGACTATTCTCATAGGAACTGGGCCTTTCAGAAGATGTAATGTGTGTTCCTAGGTTCCTAACAGAGCAAAAGAAGAGTCACTGCAGAGAAAAGCAATGAGACAAAGGTGTAGGATGCAGAGGAGCCTCCCAAAGTCGCTGCAGGTGTCAAGCAATGGGTCCCCAAAGGGAATGTGGTTGTTTAAAAACAAAGGTGGCAGTGGGGATGTCCCAGTGACGTCCAAGGTGATGTGTGTGACGACAGACACAGGAAGGGGAGGGGGAGGAGAAAAGAGAAGGTAGAGACAGAAACAGAGAAAAAATAGATAAAAAGAAAAAAATTAGGTCAAATATAGAAAATGCAAGAATCAAAGGTTAATTCAACTTAGTAAATTAAACTGACAAAGATTAGAGAAGAGTTCAGTGCGGTATTAGCACCATCAGGCCGGTTCAAAGCTCAGCAAGGCCAGAAGCAGCACAGCAAGGTGAATTTAGGGGTTAGGGGTCAGCGAGCAAATGAAATTAAAGTGAGAAAACAGATGCCTCTGTAGTAAAATGCAAAAGTCTGATTAGGAGAGTGTTACACTCTGACTAGGTGAGTTAAATCTCTTAGATCCAGTCAATGAGCCCACCCACAGCCTTCTAGTCACGAGAGCTTTTCACACGGAGCGGCAGGGATGCATTTGATCACTGCAGCATGTAGAGCAAACTGTGGGCAAGGAGCAGGGGCTACCTTCGCAACCGTAAATTGAACTCTTCTTCCTGTTGCCCAATCCCCTGCCCACTGTGCTATTAAAGAGACTCTAGTTCTGTGCCCCTCACCTTCTACCACCCTGCTGACCACATGAATGCACCTCTTATAAGATTCAGAGGTTTCAGACTCAGGTCCCAATGCAATGGCTGGCTAAGTCCAACCCAGCCCAGAGCTGCCTCCTCTAAGACCTTTGTAGGAGAGCCCCTCGTGCGGTAGGCAGCCCCTCAAACCCTCTCTGGGTTAACGGGGCTCCTGAAGATTAACTAGAAGGACTCTGACATTTCCAGTGGGCAGGACTCTGAAGGACAAGGCCTTCCCAGGATTTCTGTGCCTGACACACACACTCCCAACTCCTCCAAACCCAGCATGAGAACTCGGCAGGTCTGGGCCATCTGCCGGTAGGGGTCTCACCTCTGGAAACAAATGCCATTGGGAATCTGTCTCGCTGCAAAGGGGTTACCCAGGCCTCTCACTCCCCCAGCTCCTCCTAGAGGCCAAGTTGATCTGGACACTCACACTGGACTGTAGATTTCAAGAAAAAAACTGACCGAAGAAGGCCAAGAAAGAAAGGGCACAGGCTGGCATGCCCACCTCCATTGGGCATCCCATTATGCAGTCGTGAGAACATTTCTGTAGCCATACCCACTGCCTCGCCTTTGACATTCACCATCTGAGTCGTCCCAGCAGTGACACACTCGTCCTGCATGTGCTAAGTGGTCTCCCTGACAATGCAGAGGGCAGGACCAACCAATGCTCTGATCTGTGGCTTCAGACCCACCTGCCAACTTCTGGAGGCCCCACACGTCCGTCTGACACGCACATTCATGCTCGACCAACCATTGGGAATCACACACTGACCTCGTTCTGTTGCTGCCTGAATAACCCACTTTTACACAGACAGCCCTGTTGTAGACAGCCCACATCTTTTCTGGCCTCTCTTCCACTGGGAGGAACGATGGTGACAGCTGAGCTGAAAGCCCAGGGGAACACTAAACAGGACAGGCAGGTGGGGGCCAAACCCAGACCACCGGGAGATCAGAGCCTCTTCCTACCACACTGGAACATGGCAGAGGTTATGGCGCCCCTCCAACTGGCTGCGGCTATGTGACCTGTGCCCACCTCTCCTGGCAGTGGAGGGCATTTGGCTGGTCTGGAAAAGCAGAGAGTGGTGTTGGAGAGCTCTGTTTGCTGTGAGTGATTTGATCAATGAGGGGACCCGCCATCGGCGACCTGGCAAGGTAGGTGAGCCAGAAAGCAGACCTCTCACTTTATTCCCGCACTGGAATTGGTCCTGCATCCCTGAGACGGACCTGCTTCTCCTAGGAGAAATGCTCCCGTCATGATCTCTAGCAGACTGGATTGTCTTTCAGGGATGGGATTTTCCAGTATCTACTTTTCCCACTAGTTTTGTTTCGAGTGGTTCAGTTTAACCTTTGTTTCAGTTGAGAGACCCTGGGCAGGGAAGATTTTGAACTAACTAGGCACCATGTCTTCCTTCTCTTGGGACCCCCAAAGAGAAGAGATTCGGACCATGGTTGTGCAGGTAAGCAAGCATCAGATAGAAAGTGCTCAAAAACAGTTACATGGTCCTTGTATGAAAAGTTAGATGGCAGATAAGGTCTCAAAAAGGAAGCTTACTTAACCAGCTTCCAAGGCTTGGCTGGAGCTGGGATTTTTCTCATTTAAGGGTCTCAAGGACTGGTTTAGCATCAGTCCTTCAAGGCCAAATGACACAGGACCTCTGCACAGGATGCTTGGCCAAGCCTTCCTGCAAGTCCAGTACATCTCAACCCACTGCACAGATAAGTACAAAGCAAAACTAAGCTTTGCATGGGCAACCAATCATGAGGATGGCTGTAAGCAAGCGAGTTTTCGGGGGTTGTTCAGGCACATTAGGAGGTGCAGCACTGGTGCATTAATTCAAAGCGGGAAACTCACAGAAAGCAGAGGCACTCATACCTGGGATGGCTGTGGGCTGGGCCGAGGTTCTGAACATAAAATGAGCAGCCTTGGACTTCCCCTGCTGGTTCTCTGCCACGACGTAGACCTCGTAATCAGCATTCCAGTCCAGGGACTTGAGCATGATGTGGTCGCTGCCGGATGGGAGCCTGATCTCCGGTTTCCATTCGGAGGAAAGCTAGGAAAAACCAGCAGGAAGAACACGAGACACAAGGAAGCTTTAGATGAAAATGCTGGTAAGACTAGCCAACAGGAACAACTTAAGGGAGTCAATAACTATTGGTGCAAAGTAATAAAAATAAAAACCAATGATAGAAGATGGTGTTTATTCTTTACCAGCCAGAAAAAGCCCTAAGGATGATGCAGGTCAGCGGGTCAACCTTACATGTTTGCAAATACAAACAGTGGCAGACCCCAGTGTGACATGGGGCCAACCCTTCCATCACCTTCAGGGCGTGCAAAGACTCAAGCACCAGCCTTGCCCATTCCCCAAGCTACACTCTGGGATGCCGAGCCCATTGGCATTAGTACATCCTAGAAAAGTAATAAAGCAAATGTGTTGCTTGTGTGAATTCAGAATGTTGCTCATACTCAGACGTGTGACCTATCTACCAGACACAGAAACTCTACACTGATTCCAGTTTTATTAAAAATAAAAACTACTTTTTATTGAGCACCTATTATGCACCGGTCACTATACTAAAGGCTTTCCACACATGTTCTCATTACATCTGACAACAAGCCTGCAAGGGTTTTGTCAGGCTCCTACTAAACCTGGTGACAGGAATTGGGAGGCAGTCTTGTTTAGGGCCAAGTGCATGTGGCCTCCAAAGCAGCAATTTATCCTTTTCATAGCAGGGAGCTCAACAAACATCTGTTGAACTGAATTAGATTTTTCTATTCCACGAAATGTAATTTAGTATCTACAGCTGCAGCTGGAGGTGTCTCAGGTGTAAATTTTGCTGTCAGGCCCAACACTGGGGCACTGAGAGTGCCCACGAGGAAGGGATGTTCAGCTTAGCAGAGAACTGCACGGGGCAAAATTTGCAGCTGGAGTTATAGGTGCCCCTTTTTCTCACCAAAGACTCTTTCCAGTCACATCCCACACATTCACCAATGAGTGTGTTCTGAGCAGTTCATCAAGCCATCTGTAGGCGACCACCTCCTAACACAAGAGTATGGAAGGAAGTTGGCAGAATTCCTGAGAAGTCTTCAGATGGTTTCACAATTGCCCACTCAGCCCACCTTCACAGTCTTTGGAGAGGTGTAGGCTGGGCGCACAAAAAGCTTTGATCAATGTTTTTGGTAAATGACGGGCTTCTCCTCGGAAGAGCAGAGCATGCCATCAGCGTCAGCTGGAAGGTGGTGCAGTCCATGGCTGGGGCTGGCGGAAGAGTTATCTTAGAGCAAAGCCATCTTCCCAGGCATAACAATTTGTATCAGCCAAAGACCTGGCCATGACCGTCGTGGGGAGATGTTGGAGGGGAATGCTAGCTTCTTTAGTATGTAACCAGGAAGTGGACTATGCTGTAAGTTAGCTTGTGAATATGCCACCATGTGGTTCCTTTTTCATTTAAAACCAAGAAATTTAGCTTTTTCCAATTTCTCTGAAAAGCTTTTTCCTTGGCAAACATCATTACAAAAGAGACAACCAGAATATAAAGCAAGTATTTAATAAAGCAATCATTATGTTATATAATACATATTAATATATCATAATAATAATAATATTTGGCAAATATTGAGTTTTTGAAGTGGACGAGAGAGGAAGTTCAAGGTTGTTGAAATCTAACATACCTCAGTGTTTACCTCACTCATCTTTCTAACTCGGACCTGCTCGGCGTGGCCACACTGACTCTTCTGGAAACTGACATCTGAGGTGGTCTCTCACGGGAGGTGTTTGCAGCCCTAGCTAGCATCTTCGCAGTAATTACTATATTTACTGTGTAGAGAGGTATCCAAGGGTCAGGCACATTTCAGGTTATTGGCCTGTATTATGATAACTAATCTTTATAACAACCTGATAAGCTATTCTGTTCCCATTTTACAAAAGGAGAAATGGAGGTTTTGGAAGATTGGATGATGTATTTGGGTCACATGCTGGTAAGTGGTGAAGTTGGAACTGGATCCCATGTCTGTCCCAGCCACACCCAGGTGACAATAGGCAGGGCATCCTACCCTACCACACCGTCCACCTCCAGTCCTGGCTTCTACTCCACAGTGAGGAAGCCTCTCAGGCACTGCTGCCTCTGGGCTGGGCCTAAGGAAGGTCAGCTGTGGCTCTTCCTCCCATGTCAGCTCTCTTCTGGCTCTGCAATTAAGTGGGAAAGGGCCGAGCAGATTGACAGGTCTGTCCACCAGCTGAGAAGCGTGTCCTATAGGGATCCACGCTGTGCTGACTCTCTGTGAGCCTAACAAGGTCAGGGCTCACATTTCACTTCAACAGGGGCTGATCAAATGGCAGAGGGGGAGTACGTCGACCTCCTGGAAAATGCCTTTCTTGGGGGCTGTTTGAAGAAAGACAACTGCTCTGTCATTCATTATTTCCTACTGGTAAGAAACCCTAGCCATAGACTATTCCCAGTGCTCAGGCACTGCCTCTAAATCTCTCAGCAATTGCTTGTGGTTGGCAATGGTCAAGTGTCATTCTAAAACCAAAAAGGGAGAGATGGATTCTCAACTGGGGTTGGGGATAAAAGGTATAATGGTAGCAACCTTAGATGGGTGGTGAGCCAACCAGGAATAAAAAAGCTTAGGGCCAAGTTCATTGTTAGCAAGATTAGAACAGCTCAGGTGGGGGGTAAAGAGCAGGTGAGGGAACAAGCCCAGTCTCTTCAATCAGACAGACCTGGATTCCCTCGCCTGGCTGGCCCAGCTGTGTGAGATCAGGCACTTACTGGCTGCCATAAGGCCCTTCCTTCCTTCCTTTGTAAAGCGGCAACGACCTACTTCATAGGGGTCTTGTGGAGAGAAAATGCTTGTAATCATAATACCTTGCCTGTAAGGTAGTGATTATTAGATATCAGTGTGTTATTTGCAAAAAGTACTGGGTAATAGCAAAATAACTTCCTACAAGAGTTCAAAAAGCAGGAAAATCAGTCATGGTATGAGTTTGTCAGCAGAGGTTTTAAAATGGTCCCAGTGTGGACGTTAGTCCACAAAAGCTGCACATTAGTGTGGAGATTTAAAACCCGGACCAAGGCCCAAGGCACAGAGTGGCAGCATCCCCCACCCCTGCCCCCGGCCTGGGCTTTGTGTGTTGTTGCCACAACAAGGTAGGCATCGGGGGGTACAGGGGCGGGGGCGACCACAGGGGAATGCGGCACTCACCGTTCGGTACCTGACCAGGTAGTGCCTGATGGGGGAGCCACCGTCGTCCTGCTTGATCAGGTTCACCTTGATGGAGTTGCCATCCTCTCCCATCTGCCCTTCAAGCTTAGGAGCGCTGGGTTCCCCTGAAACAGCCAGTTCATTCAAATGACATTTTCCTCCGCAAAGGGAGAATCCAGTCCACCAGAGTGGGATGGAGTGATGGGGTGGGGCTGGAGTCTTTTGCTACCTCAGGAATTCAAATGGTTAAAAAGTAGTAAGTGCAAAACTCTGGATCCTGGTTACATGCCTCAGACCGAGCCCAAACGTAACACATTTTGGGATACACCCTCCCTGGAAGCACAGTCCTTTCACCATTTCTAAAAATAGGCTGTTGTTTCTCCTCTCTCTCACTGGTACTTGCATTTTCTTCAAGCTGCTCTGCTCTTACCACTGAAGATTTAACTTTTATAAAGTTGATATTTTGAGAAATAGCCTGAAATATGGGAAAATGGAAGCAGTTAAGGAGAAAACTTACATGCACACAATAATCTTTCAAAGCATCCCAGTTTCTCCCCTGGATATCTAAGTGGTAAAACTTAGGTTTATTAAAAAATAATTTTAGTTTCCAGCTGTAATTAAATAAAGCACAATTTGCCACAGGCAAGCTCCTTGTAAGTATCCTGCACTTAGGGCTCAACGGACTAAGAGAAAATCCCTGACACCTTGTATTAAGGTAACAATCATTAAAGTCTTTTTCTTCGTGAGGAGAGGGAGAGAAAAAGTGTCTTCAGCATTTCCCAGCAGAAAAAAAAAGTTGCCGTTTCCCTTTACTGGTGGTGTGCACTCAGCTTGTGGCAGTCTGAGTCCAAGATTGAGAGGGAAGATGAGCTTGTATGTGTCAGACTACGGGGGCTGGGATGGCTCTTCAGAGTAAGATGCTGATTTATTTCTAGAGAAGCTATTTCATTAGTATATGCAGGAAGCAGTGGGGTAAGAAAACATCTGATACAAAAAGTTAAAATGAAGATTTAATGCACTTGAGAGCCCGGGACTTCCTGTGGGAGCCATCTCTGAATTGATTTTATGGCCTCAGATAGAACATTCGGGAGAGCCTATTAACCATCACCAGCTAGGTGCACTGTCCTGGCTCGTGCTCTGGAACACGGAATCACAGACTTGTGACAAGAGCCAGAAAAGGCTTGCCATTAGGTTTTGGATAAAAGTGTACCATTGGATAAGAGTGTACCTCTTATTAGAAGGTGGCTGGCAGGGCCAGTCCAGCCTACTCTGCTCATCAGCTGCTCTGGGAACCTCAACATGGCCCTGTGTCCTGCTCTTCCTTTAAGACAGAGAAAAACCAGAGAGAAAACCAATGAAGAGCCCTGACACTCAGCCTGGGTTGGCAGCGAGCGCATCACCCGGGAGCCTGTTAGAAATGCAGACTCTTACCTTAACAAGATCCCATGGTAATCACTGTGCACATTTGGGCTTGAGAAGTAGCAGTACTGAGCACAAATAAACACTACAACAGTGAAGATGCATAACCTCAATGTTGTTATTTGTTTTCGTCAACCAGTAATTAAGGCAAAAGACAAGGTGGGCGTTGGGGGTGCCAACAAGAATAAAAAGACAAAAGGGCTTCTGGCAAAGACTTGTCCCGTTTTTATGCCACTAATGTAGCCACTGTTCCCACTGGAAGATATTTAGAAATTTGGTTTACATAGTGCCAAGGCATGTGCACTTTTCAAACTCTTTTGGACCATTCTAAATCTCAGACAATAACTCAGTTAGGTCCTATATCACCATAAATGTCCAGTGCTAAGGAGAAACTCTAAATGGAGTTTCAGAGTGGGCCAGGTCTGTGTAACTCACCAATGCTGAACAAATGGAGGTAGGAGAAGCAGTAGAACTTTACGGATTCTGCTCTCTGACTGAGTTAGGGTGACCAACTCACCCTGGGTAGCTGGGACGTTCTAGGTGTGAGTACACCACGTCCTAAGCCCAGGCAGACCAGGGCGGTTGGGGACAGGAGCCTGAATGGGGATGGACACTCACCATCACAATTTCTGTATTCAGATCCCAGCACTGACCCTGTGATGAATGATCCATTTGCTTTAAGAAGAAGGGAAGGAGGGATGGAGGGGTCCTTGTGACACACCCACCAGCCAAGGACTAGCCCTTCCCCAGCCCTTCCTTCCTTGGAAGAGCAACAGGGATTAATCAAATGGTGCTGCTGTGCTGGCACCATCCTCATTCCTCCCTCTCAGATTTGAGCAGTGTGGGTTCCCGGCTGAGTGCATACTGCCTCGCGTGGGAAACCCTGCTTCAGAGGAGCATGTATTTGGAAGAGGAGCTTTCTCTGATATTTGTGAGGATTGCTTTGCCCTGATGCTAAGGAAGCCACAGTGGGTCCTGGGGCATCTGTTGCCTTGGACAGGTCTCTGCCCCAAGACAGACTATCAGGATCACCGGGGCTATTTTTATAACACTGTAAAAGAACACAAAATATATAACATTCATGCCCCTTTCGGGAAAAGAACTCCAAAACCAACAATTTTATGTTTCTACGGCACAGAGTTGTCCTTTTATTTTTAAAAGAATTGTTTTAAGAATCTTAGTTATCACAAAAAGCCTTATCTTTGAAGGGACCTCAAGTCTCTTCAAAGACATGAATAAAAATCTTGCCAAGGGATTCCTGTAGGAACCAACAGCCCTGATGAAGGTACTCTGTTATCTTTGAATTTGAAAAAATATACAAATATTTGACAAAAATATACAAATATACAAAAGTAGTTTCTCTGTGACTCCAGAGAAACCAGTAGAAACAATACCACAGTTAGAACATAGTTGTAACATTTACCAAAGTTAGAATACTCTAACGTGCTATCATTTTATTTGAGTGATAACCAGGTTACTCTGATATGTATTACTTTCTCATAGAATTTAAAGTATTTTATATCATATATTATTCAGGCATGTCACTTAGGGTGATTTAAATATGAATTATTCAACAAATGCATATTGAGTACCTACTAGGTACCAGGTAGGCTATTGGGTTTTAGAGTTTCAAAGGTGAATGAGACAAGGTTTTGTTTGCCAAATGAAAAAACTGAGTTAAAATCAATTTTTAAAACTGGGCAGGGGCCCCTGTGTAGAAAGAAACGTAACACTTCCCATGACAATATTTCTAAAGGAGGCACATAGTCAAATAAATCATAGGGATTCTGACCAACTTTGTAACTTATGTAAGCACATAAAGATGTGGAAAGAGTAGTATTTGTTTAATCAGTGGTCTTATGCATCTTCAAATGTTTATTGGCAGCCATTTTTTAAAGATTAATAAGGAGTAAAGAAACTTTCCTGGGCTCTTTGCAGTAGGAAGTCTCCACTCACGCCCAAGGAGGACAGGGATGGGAGGGCTGGGGACTGCAGCCCCAGGAGGCTCGGTGCTGCCCAGGGCGTGCCAGCAGAGGGGGCTATTCAGAGGGCCCCCATGTGCACTCTGTTCTGAGATGGCTGCTCTGATTGAAATCATTATGGGTAATTTCAGGAAAACCAATATTGTAATTATTTAGAAATGCTGGTTTGCAATTCAGCAGCAATAGGCAGGTTGCTCCAGGAAAACCCCTGGGGTTAATTATACCCTCTGAGTTCAGCTTCAGCCATCAGTCATATTTTTCCCCAAATATTTTATGTAAAGGCTACAACAGCAGTACCTTAAAAATAAACACTGCCAATAACAAGTATAAAATATTAAGCAGTTCTGGTATTTTCTAGAAGAATGTGAATCATGTTTGCAAGAAAGAAAGAACGTACCATAGAGACCACATATAGTCAGAAATATTACAGGCAGGTCCTCTGAATTCCCCTTAGAAACTGTACTTGAAATGTCTATTTCTGGCCATGCATATTGTCAGTTCTTCTTTGTAATTATTGTGTTACTATGCCCTAAAATCAGAGTCTGCTTCATGTCCTTCCCATCATCAGCAGAAGCTCTCAGGTCAGAAAACTACTCCTGGGTATCTGAATTCCACAACAGAAACTGGAGCAATCCCAGGGCATCTGTGAATTTTGGAAGGGAAACAGTAACTACTTCTTACTGAAACAATCTCAAGTACCAGGAGTTATATCTTCTGAGAGAAACACTAAGGTGCCACCAGGCATGGAGACAAAGCATGGGCCAACTTGGATCTGCCTTCATCCACTTTGCTCTCTCTCCTGGTTTGGGGCATCTGGGAATAAACCAGTGACGGATGTAGGGGCTGCATTAGAATCTTTTTCTCTTTTTATCGAATAGGACTGTCTGGCATTAAAATTACTGTTCCTTTTGTTTATTCTAACTCCTATTCCCTCATGTTTATCATTTCTTAGAAGCAATTTGAAACTTGTGTATGCCTTTTTATTGTTTTAAAAGGTGCAAAATGTATAATTTAGCTGTTCAAATATGAAGTGTATTTGATTTTCCCAACTCAGGAACATTTACAATTACATTAAGAGGTTAGAGGTTTGACTTGTCCTCAGGGTATCAGCAAATTATGTATGGGATTAGGATTTAGAGTTATTAGACACTAACCTTCCAGACCCAGCCCTTTGCCCTCGATGCCAAACAAGGGAACCTAGTGCGATCTATGCTCCGTACGCTCCTGGACCCTCCAACTCTCCTGATGCCCCTTTTCCCACCCACATTGCTATTCTAGGGGGGCTTTCTGACAGTCCCAAAGAGCAGCTGACAGTGCCCACATGGGAATCAATTGTCTTAAGCATTGCTCCCCCAGGTCAAGTCTTTAGGAGTCAAGTACACTCACTCAACCATAACTCTTCTGAGCACTTTTCTCTTCATTGTTAAGGGTCTTCTTGTGCTAGTGTGACCCGGCCCTCTGCTGCCCGGGGTGTCTGGCTCCAGGGAAGGCTGGGGTGCAGAATGAGTGGTTGTGGGCAGGGCCAGTGCCCAGCTTTTGCAGAGGAAGGATGCTTAGCTCTGTGGCCAAGATCATGGCGGCAGAGTCCACCAATCCCTTCCAGCCCTAGTTTTCTCAGGAATTATGGATGTGAGTGTGTGCTGGGGGAATGGTGGGGAGCAGAATGGCGGCACCAAACACAAATTAACCAATAACAAATGAACTCTGACGGACCAGACCACAAA